ACCTTCTGGGCCCTTAAATGGAATAAAACAAAATGGCGACAAACAAAAGGAGAGAATGTAAGAGGGGACAAAACCATTCCATAATTCCTGTCTGGGAGCTATTTGGGCCGGGCGTACATCCATCAGTGTCAGGTTACAGTGGATGACGGAATTCCTGTATATGTTTACAAAGTGCTTTGAGAGCCTTTAGGATGAAAGGCTCACCCCGATATTAATATTAATAACAACCTCCCCATGTTCAATGTGTTGTTGCCACGTAACCCTAAAAACCAGACTCACGCTTACCAACTCAGAAATGAAATTCTGGGGGAGGGAAGAAAAAACCCACAAAGAAATAAATAATATCCACTCTCGTTGCGTGTAACTAAGGGATCCAGTTCTGCCATCATTACTCATGTACTGTTCTGGGGGAAATTCACCCCTAATCAGAAGGCTATCACGTATCATTTATTTTGAAGGCTTAAGTGATATGTTGCCCTTGTCTTGGCTCTCTGCATGGAGGTACATACAGTCCCACTGCAGTGAATTGGACCATATGTGGAATAAGCAGCAACTCAATGTGGGAAGGAGTGGCAGAATTTGGCCCCAAATAAGTAAGCATGTTGTCAAAAATTAAGCAATAAAAAGGAGAAGGTAAAGTAAGGTACAGTATAGACAGCTAATGAAGGGGGAGAGACAAAATTCATAGAGACAACTTTTATTATTCTGTCCTCCCTCTGCCCCCACTGCTTTACAGAAAAAGTGCAGCATTGCTACAAACAAAGAAAGTACATTCTGACTCAAAAAGCAACCCCTCAATTGCTGGATTCTCATTTCAGACTCTGTGAGTATGGCACTTCAAAGCAACTCACTATCTCTCCTTCATCTATTGATACAAGACAGCTTTGCCTTTTTTTTTTTTTTTTAAATTTACATAGTGTAGTTGTATCCGTGTTGGTCTCAGGATATTAGAGGAACAAGGTGAGTGAGGTAATATTTTTTATTGGACCAACTTCTGTAGGTGAAAGAGAGAAGCTTTTGATCTTACACAGAACTCTTCTTCAGGTCTGGGAAACTAACTCAGAATGAAAAGGAGGACTTGTGGCACCTTAGAGACTAACCAATTTATTTGAGCATAAGCTTTCGTGAGCTACAGCTCACTTCATCGGATGCATACTGTGGAAAGTGTATCCGATGAAGTGAGCTGTAGCTCACGAAAGCTTATGCTCAAATAAATTGGTTAGTCTCTAAGGTGCCACAAGTCCTCCTTTTCTTTTTGCCAATACAGACTGACACGGCTGATACTCTGTAACTCAGAATGCACTGCTAAATACAAGAAGGAGCAGATTTTTTTTAGACTGGCATTTCCTATAAGGAATAAGAGGGGATGAGGGACTGCAGGAAGCATTACTATTACAGCTGTAAGTACTCAATTCCCTTTTGTGATAAATCCAAACTCACTTTATGTGTTCAGTGACATCCTATTTAGTTTCTAAATATCGTCAATATAGTACCAAAATGAGTCCCTTGACACAACAATAAAGCTGAGTGGCAATGAGTGCTGCAAACAATAAGATATCTTATTTCCTTTCTGAGAAAGAGAATTTTTGCTGTGACTCTGCACGGAACGCTGAGCTGTACTTAAACACCTTAAAGAAAATTAATGTTAGCAAGTGAGGTAGGAAGGAAACAAACAACAAAACTGGAGTCTGGCACTTTGAAAAGAAATGGCAGACAAGACATGAAATGTAGCAAAATGAAATTCTTTTAGAATGTTGTGTTGCATTTCATACAAGTGTTCCCCTTACAGTTTTTGCTAGCAGTATGCAAGTGAAAAAATAAACACTATACTTAAAAAACACTATAAAGTGTTTCTAAAACATGGTTTTATTTGTTTATATTTTGTTTCTACAGCAGTTCCTTCAGACTCCAGGCCCTTTATAAAACATTAAAACTAACACTATTTCCATATCAAAGTTTTAAATTATTTTATTTTGTGGGACTGAGGATCTGTTCCTAGATCATCTAAAGTGGTTCATTTTAATTTGGAAAACAAACTTTTCCATTGGAATCAGGCTTAGTTCACTTAACCCAATCCTACCTGCAAAGCCGTGGGATAGTCACAAGCAGAAAATTCTCTCTTCACAGCTCTTTTGTTTATATTACAAAATTTGTACCAGTGTAATTAAACCAATTTAAAATTGATGTAGTTACCCCAGTGCAAACCCCTAACAAAGATGGATTTCAGTGACATTTGAACTGGTTTAAGTGCATCTTCATTAGGGGTTTGCACCAGTGTAACAAGATCGATTTTAAATCAACTTAGTCACACAGCTGCAACTTTTCCAGCATAGATCAGGCCTAGAAGACAACATGCAACTGGAAGCATGCATTCAAAAGAGAGCCACATCGTTTTTCATTTGTCCTGCCTCTCTCTTCCTTCCACTCTCCTGTACACAACACAGTGCTTACATAGTGCCATCCAGTGTGATGGACACCATCACATAAGCAAGTAGAACACACACTGCCATTAGAGCTTGCCTCTGGTTCTCAGAATGTGATCGGATGTGGAAGGTGCTTTATGAGAGCATTTTGCATATTTGGGCCTCCATGTTAGCAAGTCATTCCATAAGCTTACACTAAACTAATTTTTTTCTTTGGGTGTAATGATAATTTGCGTGTACAAATAATCCATATTACTCCTGGGGGAATTCTGTACCATTGCGCAATGCAGAATTTGCACAGAATTCCATGTTTTCCCTGCATAACTGGGGCTGCAGAGCTGCTGGCTTCCACTTGGGGCTGCTGGACTCTTCAGAGGATCCTGGGAACTACAGGCCAGTCAGCCTCACCTCAGTCCCTGGAAAAATCATGGAGCAGGTCCTCAAAGAATCAATCCTGAAGCACTTGCATGAGAGGAAAGTGATCAGGAACAGCCAGCATGGATTCACCAAGGGAAGGTCATGCCTGATTAATCTAATTGCCTTTTATGATGAGATTACTGGTTCTGTGGATGAAGGGAAAGCAGTGGATGTATTGTTTCTTGACTTTAGCAAAGCTTTTGACACGGTCTCCCACAGTATTCTTGTCAGCAAGTTAAGGAAGTATGGGCTGGATGAATGCACTATAAGGTGGGTAGAAAGCTGGCTAGATTGTCGGGCTCAACGGGTAGTGATCAATGGCTCCATGTCTAGTTGGCAGCCGGTATCAAGTGGAGTGCCCCAAGGGTCGGTCCTGAGGCCGGTTTTGTTCAATATCTTCATAAATGATCTGGAGGATGGTGTGGATTGCACTCTCAGCAAATTTGCGGATGATACTAAACTGGGAGGAGTGGTAGATACGCTGGAGGGGAGGGATAGGATACAGAAGGACCTAGACAAATTGGAGGATTGGGCCAAAAGAAATCTGATGAGGTTCAATAAGGATAAGTGCAGGGTCCTGCACTTAGGATGGAAGAATCCAATGCACCGCTACACACTAGGGACCGAATGGCTAGGCAGCAGTTCTGCGGAAAAGGACCTAGGGGTGACAGTGGACGAGAAGCTGGATATGAGTCAGCAGTGTGCCCTTGTTGCCAAGAAGGCCAATGGCATTTTGGGATGTATAAGTAGGGGCATAGCGAGCAGATCGAGGGACGTGATCGTTCCCCTCTATTTGACATTGGTGAGGCCTCATCTGGAGTACTGTGTCCAGTTTTGGGCCCCACACTACAAGAAGGATGTGGAAAAATTGGAAAGAGTCCAGCGGAGGGCAACAAAAATGATTAGGGGTCTAGAACACATGACTTATGAGGAGAGGCTGAGGGAACTGGGGATGTTTAGTCTACGGAAGAGAAGAATGAGGGGGGATTTGATAGCTGCTTTCAACTACCTGAAAGGGGGTTCCAAAGAGGATGGCTCTAGACTGTTCTCAATGGTAGCAGATGACAGAACGAGGAGTAATGGTCTCAAGTTGCAGTGGGGGAGGTTTAGATTGGATATTAGGAAAAACTTTTTCACTAAGAGGGTGGTGAAACACTGGAATGCGTTACCTAGGGAGGTGGTAGAATCTCCTTCCTTAGAGGTTTTTAAGGTCAGGCTTGACAAAGCCCTGGCTGGGATGATTTAACTGGGAATTGGTCCTGCTTTGAGCAGGGGGTTAGACTAGATGACCTTCAGGGGTCCCTTCCAACCCTGATATTCTATGATTCTATGAGTGTAGTAAACAGCCTGGGGGGATAGAGGCTGCAAGCTCTGGCTGCCTGGCTTGATCCTCATTCTCCTGGGGACTGGAGAGGGCAAAGGGTGAGGGATGGGCAGGGTCGTACCACACAACGTCCCATGGTGGGATAGTAAAGAAGCTGTGAGGGTGGGGCGTAAAGGCTCTGGAGGTGTAAGTGTCTGGGCCGGGGGGTGAGGGGTTCCCTAAGGCTGGGCTCTGGGGGAAAGAGAAGGAGGTGTGGGTGTCTGGGATCTGGGGGTGCCCCATGGCTGGGTTCTGAGGGGGGAGAGAGGTGCAGATGTCTGTGCTTTGGGTGCCCCATGCAGCTCCCTCCAGCAAACGCCGCCTGGAACTGGGTTGTCTTAGGGGTTTATTTAACTCTCTGCTCCTGGGGGAATCTTTTTTGTTCTTGTGTGTATTGTTGACATACCTGATAAATTATAAGAATAGTTGAAACTGGAGTGATTATATTGTGTTATTTTGACAAATAAAATATGCAGAATTTTAAAATATTGTGTGCAGAATTTTTAATTTTTTGGTGCAGAATTCCCCCAGGAGTATTCATATGTGTAACTACAAACAAAGAGACAGTAATGCCTTCCTCTTGATCTCACGCTGTGTCTTGTCCTTTCTCCATCGTCTAAATAAGTTCTCTGGGGCAGAGACTGACTTTATCTGTTCTGTGCACTTTATCAGCACTGAAACTATCATAATAAATAAAACACATAAATGATAAGCCTGAAAGTCTCTGTAGTCCTGCACAGACTGCAGCTCTAGCAATGCAAAAACATGACACCGAAATCATTAAAATAATCATGTACCTTGAAAAATAGCCATGCTGTCATCCACTTGACCACTTTTGTAGCCCAACAGACATTTTTGTAGAGCTCAGTGTTCACTACTCCAGGGTCTACTACATTAGCTGTCACATGGTTCCCATCTGAAGTTATGAGATGCTGTAGTCGATAGGTAAACAATACAAGGGCAAGTTTGCTTTGGGCATAGGCTCCATGGGGTGAATAAGAACATCTGTATAGAAAAGAGGGAGAGAGGAAAATAATCAGAAGAAAAATGTTATAGCACAGATATCACATGCATTGCCAGTTTGCTAAATTATGCGGTAGACAGCAACACAAGTAAGTAGGCACAGGAAAGCCTTATCACTTGAAAGCAGATTGCTTGTTATAGTTCTGGTGACTATTTCACTAGATTCAATGACTGCTTTATGGACAGTATCTTAGATAAACATACATGTGATCAGAATCCGTGCTGCAAACAATTTAAAAGGTATCGTTTTTCCTGGAAATGCTGAAATATCAAGCCACAGAATGCCCCAGTCTCATTCCTCCTATTACTTATTTATTCTTTATACAACTGCAGCACCTATTGGGCCCTGATCACGGATGCATTATGTTGCCCCAGATCACAGACTAGGATTATAACAAGATACAGGTGGATAGGCAGGCAAAAGTGTGTGATGGTTAGTATGGCGACAAGCTAATTAAAAGTTGTACTACAGAAGTCATAAAACCTTTAACATTGGAAGATAACTAGTTAGAACAACGGTTTAAATGGAGCCCATGACAAACGGCATATGTAATGTAAACATAAAACTGATAGACTCTATGTCAAAACATTTATGTTCAGAACCCATGTGCCCCTTCTGTGATTCAGATGTTGGAAGTTCTCAAATTCAAATTCCTCAAAGTCAACCTTCTTAGTTAGTAGTTGCTGATTAATCATGTTTCACTTCATTTTTTAAAATTCTGTCTGAATAAAGAATGCTACTGTCAAGCAAATTAGTAGGTATGTCACTGAAAATACTCCCCCAGATTGGGGTTTCAACATCACTTCTATGAATTCCACTTCCATGACAACTCTGCTTCTGTAATTACTGCAGACCTTTCATTTAATCTCTCAGCGCTTCACAGAGACAAGGGTAATGCCTAGGAAGATTTTCTGTGTTTTGTTATGCACAGAAGAGTATGTGCTGACTGAATGGTAACTGTTTCTCAGAATTCTGTTTACTCTTTATTTCCCATATCATACTTGGCTTTTAATGTTCTGTACACTTGACTAGTCAGCCTTGAGGTGGAAGAATAGGCCTCTAGCAAGCACTCTCATTTCATGTGGATTTATAAGTCCAGTGAAGCTATCTAACAGCAGTGCTGGATGCCAACAATGTGAATAATCAGGAACTTTCAGAAGCAACAGTGACTTTAACAGCCAAGTCTCTTTGTTTTCAGTATTTACCGATGTTTCTCGGAAAAATCCCCGGCTATTGAAAAAGCTAGTATTTGGATTTTACAGTTTTCATCTGAATTTTGGCTTTTGCAGGACCTGGGAATTTCTTGGAGAGAGACAGGAAGGGAACCAGGTCCTGGGACCTGAGACCACCTGACCACTGCAGCAACGGGCCCTCAGAGTGGAACGCTACTAGGGTGAGCATATTTGAACATTCAAAAAAGAGGACACTCCACGGGGGGGGGGGGCGAAGGGGTTGGGGAGATACTTGCTCGCGCCCCCTGCCCCCAGCCCTGCCCCAAATCCACCCCTTCCCCACCCCCATTCCAACCCCTTCCCCAAAATCCCCACCCCAAATCTGCCCCCCCCCCTGCCCTATTGGACCCCTTTCCTCAAATCCCTGCCCAGGCCCAGCCTCCTCCCCTGAGCGTGCTGCGTTCCCCCTCCTTCCCCCCCTCTCTCCCAGCCATGCAAAACAGCTGTTTCACGGCGCAAGCGCTGGGAGCTAGGGGGAAAAAGTGGGCACTTTCTCCAGTGATCAACATTCACTTTCTTTCTCGAATGATCAACATTCACTTTCTTTCTTGAATGATCAACTCTTCTTTGGGGAAAAATAATAATGGCAAAATCCCCAACGTTTTTAGTTATTTAAAAATTCCTCCCGGACGGTGATTTAAGAACCAAAAAGCTGGACGTGTCCGGGAAAATACAGACGTATGGTAACCCTAAATGCTGCATCCCATGAGTATTGAGTCCCCTTGCCAGACAGAATGCTCTCCTGATCCCAGGTCCAGGGGGACAAGGGGGTTCTCTCTGACAGGGATATCAGACTCACAGGGTGCAGCCTTCTTCACTTCTTCTATTTAGAAAAGCTGGACATGCACAAGTCCATGCGGCCAGATGTGTTGCATCCGAGAGTGCTAAAGGAGTTGGCACATGTGATTGCAGAGCCATTAGCCATTATCTTTGAAAACTCATGGCAATCGGGGGAAGTCCTGGACGACTGGAAAAAGGCTAATGTAGTGCCCATCTTTAAAAAAGGGAAGAAAGAGGATCCTGGGAACTACAGGCCAGTCAGCCTCACCTCAGTCCCTGGAAAAATCATGGAGCAGGTCCTCAAGGAATCAATTCTGAAGCACTTAGAGGAGAGGAAAGTGATCAGGAACAGTCAGCATGGATTCACCAAGGGCAAGTCATGCCTGACTAATCTAATTGCCTTCTATGATGAGATAACTGGTTCTGTGGATGAAGAGAAAGCAGTGGATGTGTTGTTCCTTGACTTTAGCAAAACTTTTGACACTGTCTCCCACAGTATTCTTGCCAGTAAGTTAAAGAAGTATGGGCTGGATGAATGGACTGTAAGGTGGATAGAAAGCTGGCTAGATTTTTGGGCTCAACGGGTAGTGATCAATGGCTCCATGTCTAGTTGGCAGCCGGTACCAAGTGGAGTGCCCCAAGGGTCGGTCCTGGGGCTGGTTTTGTTCAAAATCTTCATAAATGATGTGGAGGATGGCGTGGATTGCACCCTGAGCAAATTTGCAGGTGACACTAAACTGGGAGGAGAGGTAGATACACTGGAGGGTAGGGATAGGATACAGAGGGACCTAGACAAATTGGAGGATTGGGCCAAAAGAAATCTGATGAGGTTCAACAAGAGTCCTGCACTTAGGACGGAAGAATCCAATGCACCGCTACAGACTAAGGACTGAATGGGTCAGCAGCAGTTCTGCAGAAAAGGACCTAGGGGTTACAGTGGACGAGAAGCTGGATATGAGTCAACAGTGTGCCCTTGTTGCCAAGAAGGCCAATGGCATTTTGGGATGTATACTAGGGGCATTGCCAGCAGATTGAGGGGCATTGCCAGTGATCGTTCCCCTCTATTCAACACTGGTGAGGCCTCATCTGGAGTACTGTGTCCAGTTTTGGGCCCCACACTACAAGAAGGATGTGGAAAAATTGGAAAGAGTCCAGCGGAGGGCAACAAAAATGATTAGGGGACTGGAACACATGACTTATGAGGAGAGGCTGAGGGAACTGGGGATGTTTAGTCTACGGAAGAGAAGAATGAGGGGGGATTTGATAGCTGCTTTCAACTACCTGAAAGGGGGTTCCAAAGAGGATGGATCTAGACTGTTCTCAGTGGTAGCAGATGACAGAACAAGGAGTAATGGTCTTAAGTTGCAGTGGGGGAGATTTAGGTTGGATATTAGGAAAAACTTTTTCACTAGGAGGGTGGTGAAACACTGGAATGCGATACCTAGGGAGGTGGTGGAATCTCCTTCCTTAGAAGTTTTTAAGGTCAGGCTTGACAAAGCCCTGGCTGGGATGATTTAATTGGGGATCGGTCCTGCTTTGAGCAGGGGGTTGGGCTAGATAACCTCCTGAGGTCCCTTCCAACCCTGATATTCTATGATTCTATGATTCTCCCTTCCTGATGCTGGCCCTTCAGCATGGTTCCTGTCTGCTTCCTCTGCACAGTGGAGGAGCGAAAAGGGCAGGAAGCCAGGCCCCAGCAGCCAAGACCACCTGACTGCTGCAGGAAGCAGAAGGCTTCCTTGACTGTCACATTGTGAGTAACCCCTCCCTGTCCTCTCCGCCATGCCCCAGCCACCGGGAATTCCAGACACCCCTGCCCCCATGCCAGCTGCCCTTCATTTTTGTTTTTTATTGATTTTTCACCCTTAAAGAAAAATTAAACAAACACCAATAAATTCCAGGGAAATTTAAGAAAAGAAATAAAAACGGAAAGCAAAGGGCTGTATTTGCATCCTAGCTGCAGGAAGTAAAGAAGTATAATATTAACTTGCCAGTTCATTCTCTTTAATTGTTTCTATATTTGTCCAAAAGAAAAAGTCAAGTAGCAATAAAAACAAAATGACAGTACAACTTTGAGAGATGAGGTGAGTGAGGTAATATCTTTTATTGGACCAACTTCTGTTGGTGAGAGAGAGAGACAAGCTTTTGAGGTACACAGAGCTCTTCTTCAGGTCTAGGAAATGTACTGAAAGGGTTACAGCTAAATACAAGATGGAACAGATTGTTTAGCATAAGCAGTTAACACATATTTCAAGGGACCATTCAAGGTAAAGTGGCCACTTGAAATGGTCCCTTGAAATATGTGTTCACTATTTATGCTAAACAAGCTGTTCCACCATGTATTTAGCTGTGAGATAGTAATAAAGAAGATCATATAAAGTGTCATAACATCAGTCAATTGTCTGAGCTGTAACATAATAGATAAAGTAGCTCAACCATTATAAAGGTATCAGCCGGGTCTAGGAGTGGACTAGGTCTTTTAATAATGAATAAAAACCACTTTTAGTGTTATTGCATTGGAATAAAAATGACGGAGTTAGTCAAAGTAGTGCAGTTATAGTTTAGGGTGTGTGTGTGTGTCTGTGAGAGAGAGAGAGAAAGAGAGAGACCAGTTATAGCGGATGCATATAAGTCCATAGTACAAGTTACCACTGGGCATCAATTAACCTAGGTTCAAAGCAGATCACTCAATGTCACCCTGGGTATGAAAAGGAATCTAACCTTAACACATTATTTCCACAAAGGAAAGTATAAGCTGCTAAATCAACTCCACAGAGACAGAAAGACTAAGTACACCATTCAGTCATTATGTTAACTTTATAATTTGATTGCTGAATGTGCTCATGCAATTTGTCTGAGCAATTATTGGTCTCAGATTGTTTTCTTTTTAGTTAACCAATTTTAATTTGTATTATTGTTAACTCCTTGATTTGACTAACTTGATTTACATTGTAACCTCAATCTAATTT